CTGTCGCTCTTCAGACAACCACCCCCAAAAACTAGGTTTATGTTACACACTCGAGACAAGTACATACACGTCTTTGCTTCAAAATTATGTTTGTGTTTGTCGCTCAAAATATACCCACTCAGAAAAAAAAATGGGTTTATATTACACACCTGTGACAAGTCCGAACACGTCTTTGCTTCAAAGTTATGTTTGTGTCTGGCGCTCAAAAGATACTGTTCAAAAAATAATGGTTGAGTTATACACACACGCACAAGGGACAAGTTCGAACGCGTCTTCAGAAGTTAGGTGGGGGTTTGTCGCATTTCATAAACGCCCTAGAAAAATTAGGTTTGAGTTACATACAGACAAGTCCGAACACGTCTTTGTTTTACGTGGGAGATTGTCGCCCCAGACATCCTTCCAAAAATTTAGGTTTACGTTACACACACAAAAGATACCCTTTCAAAATTAGGTTTAAGTTAGGCGCCAAAAAGATAACCCTTTCGAAAAAATAGGTTAGGTTAGGCCCTAGGTTGGGAGGGTGACATTGGGGGACAAAATGGCATTTTGAAAATGTTAGGTTTGGGTTAGGCGCCAAAAATATACCCTTTCAAAAAATTAGGTTTGAGTTAGGTGCCAAAAAGATACCCTTTTGAAAAAATTAGGTTTGGGTTAGGTGCCAAAAAGATACCTTTTTGAAAAAATTAGGTTTGGGTTAGCATTCCCGAACAAAATGGCGGACCGCAACATTGGGGTATACAAATGGCGGACCGCAACATTGGGGTATTCATACTACTTTCAGGCCACATGAGTGTCAGTTTGTCTAAATTGTTAGACTAAAAGTAGTGGTCCTAATGCTGAGTCTGCGAAACGATTGACATTCCATTCTGGTTTACCGTGCGCTTTGCAAGTTCAGCAATAACTTGTAAAAATATTTGCAGCAGAGTCATCTGCTTAATTAAAGAGATTATTGTGTAGGTTTAAAAAACTATATATACTTTGAAAATTTCCCCAGCCCCTCCAGGCCACTGGCCAGAGCTGCCGTGGGGGCAAAATACCCGCCAGTCCGGGCCTGGCACAAAATAGAGCAAAACAAAATTTTGACCCAAAGGGCGCTACATTGACGAGTTTCCCCTAAGAACACTGTTTAACATTTTTCAAAAAATATCTTCTGCAAAAATCTTACTCCTACTCTCTATAGGGTAAAACTAATTGTGAGGTTCAGGAAAAATTTCAAGTGCCATCCGATTTCTACATAAATAACCTTCAAATTTTCCAACGAAATCGAAGATTTACACCTGAAAAGGTTCCCTAGTAAAACGCACGCAGTTCCACCGCGCGCTTTAGAACGTACGTAGTTTGCCGCCGCGCCCTGGAAACCCACGTAGTACGTTTACCGGCCGTTGCGCTGCGGATCAGGCAGGCGACTGGCCAAAACCCGCCGCTCGACACGGCGTGCGCGGTGTTCTCGAACTACGCGTGTTTCGCGTGAAGTGAACAACTGCGTGAGTTCTGAAACGCGCGGTTGAACTGCATGCGTTTCGAAACGCATCCATTAACTGCGTGCGATTTAGTCTAAGGTGTCGAGACATTGAAAATCTGATTTCAAAGCATACCTCGTCGGACTCCTGCACATCAGTAGGTGTTAGTTAGCCCCCCTTGTCGGATACAACAGTCGCAAAGGTAACCTAGCCTTGCACCCACTAATCGCGTCTCCCGCCTCGCCAGACCCCTCGACCAAACTCACCGTACGATTCAGTGCTTCAAGGTTCACTCTTTTTTGCGGTGCAACTATTCATCAATTTAACAATGTATGCACAGGCATGAGCAGCTGGGCTACATTTCAATCTCCACTATATCCATAGCCTTAGTGAATCAGCAACAAATTGCGATATGAGCTCTCACCCAAAACGTCAAACTGCGGGAGCCAGGACGCTATGCGGACGTTGGGGGGCAGGCTGTCAGCAATGTCATCGGCCTCGTACTTCCACACGACGCGGTAGTGCGGGCCAAGCGCAGCGAAGGCATCCAGGAAGGCCTGAACAGCGGGCTTGGGCAGCGAGCTAGAGGTGACGATGGAGCCCAGCGCCATCAAGATGACTCCCCGTTCGGCACCATCCATCCAACGACTTAGCTCGGGCAGTTCCGACTCAAGAGGCGCTGAGCTACGGTCAGGGCGGCGGTTCTGCCAGCGGAGGGGAAAGGGCAAATCTTCATTAATTCGACCCAAGAGAATGATTTTGACGTTCAGTTATTAACGGGTTGACGGAAAATGTACGTAACAAAGCATAACCATACTTCATGACCAATTTTTGTAATTTTAAGCAGTTTTATTTACACCGTCGCGGAGCTCCTGTTTGGAGGTGGCGCTTGTGCTTCTGCTAGTGTTAATGCTGGTAGGTCAATACATATAGTCCCCAACCCCTTCCCTTAAATAGTTCAATTGATTGTCGCACTAGCTTTTACTTTCGATGCAAAAGAACGATGTTCATCCTTGAACGGGAACGTTTTCTCCAAAAACTGGACAAATGTGTTAAGCGAAAACAAAATTGGTCTTGCACATTTAAAGCGTGCAACTCGAGAAACAGGTAAATAATCGTTGTTAAAATTCAAAACTTGCTGCTTTAGTTTTTGATACTGTCGAGGAACGTTCCAGTTTCGATGAGAAGATTTCCAGTACAAATTTTCGTGCCGTATTGAATTTGAAGAAACCAATCCTTCTTTTCCTTTGCGCCATTTAATATTTTGAGATTTGCTTCTTTTGACCTCCTGTGCTTTTGGGTCCCGAGCCACTGTCCCCCCGAGTTCTGCCCCTTAGTGCTCACCTTGAGGTGTAGGCCGCCCACCTCCAGTGTGTTGGGAGGCAGGGGCCTGGCCAGGGTAAAGCTCACGTGACCGTTGATCATGACGAGGCTGGTGCTCCTTAGCATTTCTGAGATGGGCGGCGTGTCTGCGCCAAAAAACTCCCGAACTACCTCGTCGCTAGGGTCCTGGATATGGACCTGCACATATATGTAAAATTACATAGAGCTTTGGATTTTATCAAGCAATCCATAAAATAACGATATATCGTTATGTGTTCAAAACGAAAGTTTCGTAATAGAAAATTAACCGAGGAAATTTCGAAGAATCATGATAACTTTTTTTATTGTTTTTTAAATTGTAGCTGCAGCAACGAGATGCAAAACAGCTCCTATTCCCCGCAACCCCTCAGAGAACTCAACAGTGTTCATTGTGCATTGCATGCTGATACGTCAGCAGCCATCAATGTTCAGGTTTTTTTGTTTTTGGCTAATATTTCCTTTAAGACAGATAAAATTGGAAAGTAAAGAACATTTCCAGATTCCCCGTGAAAAGAGCCTTCGAACAAGCTAGGGTTCAAATTGACCAATACCATATCTAGGTTAACATTACCGACATTTTCGAAAGACGGCCCATTTCGATAACGGGCTCTATCACACACACGGATAAAAAAGAATTAGCTAAATTAGCTAATGCATTCCCTAATATGGCTTAGAATTGAGTATTAGCTCTTCTAGCTAATTCTAGCTAAGAATAAGCTAAAAGAGCTAATGCATTTGCTTACTTGGCTATTATTTTTTTTCCGTGCTGTAACTCGTTTAAAAGCTCTTTTCACGAGGAATCTGGAAATAT